AAATTGTGGTAATATATTATTTAAATTGAATCCATTTCATTTGGTTCTCTTATACCTGTTTTGGGTATCGATTAATTCATTGTCTTTATCCTAATTTGCAAATGTTGTCTGTTGTTTTGGCTGCTAGTGCAATCACGCATGAAGGTCTAGGCTTAGGTGCGGCCTTGCCCTTGGAAGATGCATAATGATAATAATTCATTAGTATATCCTAGCAAGGGTGAAAAGGATACGAAGAAATAATTTTTGATTCTTTGTATGCCAGGCTAGATTCGCTCCTCAATGCAGAGGTCGCCAAATGCCTTTAATAGAATTGGATAGGGAAGTAATTGGATAATCTGACAAATTAATCTAAATAATTGGCTAAATCATGTTAAATTTTGAATTAATAGTTCCACCAAATAATGATTCATTCATGAATCTATCCATAATTCCGTCTGTATAGAGCCTTTCTATCTCAGAATTCATAATAATCAATTCGTTGATCACCGTCCTGACTTATATTTTCTTCCTTCGGCAAGATGAAACGAACCACCCACCCAGAAACAGAATAGCCGCTCTCTTTTGGTAAATGATAAATGATACATGTAAAATCAAGCATCTTCTCTGATAGAATTAATAGCAGGATAGATTCTTAAATTTCTCAAATGAATGGTGACATATCTTTTCCCGTTTGCGAATATAGATCCTTTATTTTATTTGCAAGAGCCTTGATTGGGATTGCCAATTTATGTTATCATCTTTTCAATCAAAATCACTGAATCATTCCTTTAATCACCTCTATGTTCTTCCATATTGGTTTTCTTCGTTGTTTGTTCGCATTTGTTCGATGAATTAATTGAAATTAATCCGTCTATTTGCAATAGTGGTTGACAACACATCAAATTCATATTCTATGACAATTTTTCTTTTTATCGTTTTGAATCTCACTATCCGTCCCTATGCAATCCAGGTCCTCATCCAATTCTGAACAGATTAATCCACTAAAGATCCATTAAATCTCTTTGTTGTTTTCTTCGCAAATCCCATTTATATATTGTTCATATTATTGTTTATTTGTCTCTCTTCTTATTTGATAATATATTATCCTGTCCTCATTATTGTTGCCAAATTTGGTTGACGAATCAATCCCATATTCCTCCCTACTTTCATAGCGGCGGAGAATCATGTTTCTGAAAATTATATCATAAGCAATGTTGCCCGGACCCTTTCGGCAGATCTTGTCACTGCTTTTAGTCCAATATAGCATAATGCATTCATGGTTGTCCCACCTGGAAGAGCATTACGAAGCTCCTATATGGGATCTAGAGGGAACTATGACGTATATATAACCTTTGGAATTATATTTGATTGCCCTCTACAAAATAAATAAACACCAACCCAAATAAGAAATTTATATTCTAGAAATGCGGGTGAACCTCCATGGCAGCATTCCCGCACATCTGTCTCTGAGAGATATTGTCGAAATGAATTATTTTTGAATGATTTCAGGTATTGGAATATCGAGCATTATATGCAACGAATGATTTCATGCGGTCATATAGTTCTAGAGGGATGGACGAGGGGATTCAATTATCTTATGATTGATTCAATATTTGGAAATATATCAAGAGATATCGATGCAATCTGCCAATCATCATATGAAATGATCTATTCCCAGATTTTATCGTCGAATAGACCATATTTCATTGCAGAAATAAATAAATATATCATAGATTATTTTTAAATATATTAAATATATGGAAAGATAAAATTAATATTGAATTATTAATCCTAAGAACATAGGTATATATATAAAGAATAATATATAATAATTCATAGCATTGATCAAAAATACATAATGCAAAATTAATATACAAAGAATGATATTCTATATGATTTATATAAAAATATCTTTTCATTAATATGAAACATATACAATATTATATTAAGATTATTTAAATATGAACGATTGAAAATTGATCATTATAATAAAATATAACAAACATAATTTATATCAAGATATATACATATATTTTTTAAAATTTATTATATATATATATATAGATTTAATCATATCTATATTCATTTAAAAATTTTGAATAATTAAATTTAACAAATATTTTTAAAATTCCTATTCATTCGATTTACAATATCATTGATTATATATGAATATCTAAATTATATTAATCTCAATTAAACCTTTCAATATATTCAAGATTTTCGAAGATGAATTCAATCTCCGATTGTATCATGATTTAAAATTAATAACGAATATTCTTTACAATATATAAATAGCATTCTTTATATTATTTAATATTCTAATAATCAATCTTATTATATTTCCAAAAACCGATGAAGGAAATGCACAAAATACAATATTCCATAATTTATCAATATATTTTCTATATCAATACATAAAAATTATCCGGGCCAATGGTCAAATCGGCCCGTAATGGGCAACATATCCTTACGAATAATGATATTTCTGTGTTCAATTGATCTATATCAAAAGCGAACAAATTGATCATCAGGAATCAATATCAAAAAGTTAGCAATCTTTTTCATCTCCGGATGTTGTTTGATCATGGCGCACAATCGTCGTCCGACATCCATATGTTTCCTGCGCTTAGCAAGCATGCCTGGCAGTGGCCTAAATCTGGGACAAAGCCGCGATGACAGACCCAATTCATTATATGATTTGCCTTCCAATAAATATCAAAATCATTATTCCTGCCAAATTTGCGAATTCCAACCTCGGAACGTTGAAAATCAATGTCCACATCATTCTTGATGCGCAAATCTAGAAAATGTTTATCTGCAAACAAATATGCGGGCATTCATATATATATATATTATTTTAAGATGATTGATTATGTCATGCATTGATGAGATTTGGACAATAGGATGGCAGAAAATATAATTCCACGATCCTCGATGCTTGCTACAAGGCGGCTCTTTCATCCATATTGTCCCTCAGCCAACCTGTATATTCAACAGAATCGTGCTGAATTCACAAGGTGTGAACCAGGATATGTGCAAGCTTATTGAAAGGCTCCTCAATGCAAAGATCCATTAACGTCCATTCGGATTGCGATCGAAGCCATTTCGAAGATCGCGGGCTCGGTGATGGAAGGCATCTCCACGTCTTCAATAATTTCAAAGATCGTTATGCGACGGTTTTTTTTTTTTTCAAATATAAAAAAATCGCAAACGACGACGAAACAATCTTAGGATAAATCAAAGCAAGCGCCGCCTACGCCACTTTAATGTCGATAAGAAACTAAATAATATTATAAAATTCTAATTTCTAAATATCGCAAATCTTTAATGCGAATCAACAATATCTTAAAGAAAAAATATCCTTTCAATAATCGAAATGCAATATAATATCTAAAACCACCTCACGACAAGAAATCCCCAACAATTTATTCGCCACTAAAACAGATCGAATATTCAATACTTCCTCCCAATATAACAAATATATCCCGAAAAAATACATTAATCGAATTCGCATCTTTACCAAAAAATGCTCTATTTAAACAATTAAGAATAAATTAATATCAAAGACAAATATAACAAGATAAATTAAAATAAAAAATAATATATATAATATCGTAATCACTACAAATTGCTTTATTAAATATTTCAATTATTTAATTCTTTTGCCAAGAAATTACTAAAATATATTTCCTTTCAAATATATAAATTTAATGTTTAGAATTTAAAATTCAGAAATATATTCATCATATTTCGTGAATATATATGTATATTAAATGCAAAAAGATATATTAATTTTATAAATAATATATTATTTAGAAAATTGTTAGGGTCATTTTTAGATAGCGCAATAAATCTTTGAAATACAGAAAATGAAATTATATAAAATATTTATATTATTGTTAATATCTATTTAAAAAAAAAATAAAATCTATAAATAATCCAATAACCAAATTATATATATTTCCATTTTATACATATTTCCTTTTAAATATTATTAATATTCCTTTTGGATTTCCTTTTATATTAATTTCCTTTCGATTTCCTTTTAATATCCTATTATTTCCTTTTAATACATGTTTAATTCCTTTAATTTTATTTTAATATCATCTATTTTCTTTTAATATTATTATTATATATTTATTTTCCTTTTGTAAAAATTCTAAAAATAATATAATTTCAATTTCCATCATATTTCATTACCATATAATATATAATTATAAATAATATTTTCATCCTTTTTTTTAAATTTAATATAATAAATCATATATATAATAAATAATCAAAATCAAAAATATATAAATATATATCAATAAATATTTTATATATATCAATAAAATTATTAAATATTATATTTTAATATATATCTATTTTATTAATATAGTTAAAATATTATTAATAATATAATTCCTTTAAATTATTTTTTATATTTATTACATATTAATATTAAAAATTCATTATTATATTGATCTATATTATTAAAACAATAAAATAAAATTAATGAATTCTTCCGATTCGATTATTAAAATATAACATTATTAATTTGTATTTTATCGCGCCGATTTCGGCGATGCAGCTAAAAGGGCATGTTGACCAGCTCTTTCCAGCAATGGCCTTCAAACACATGCCAACCAGGCCGAAGGCCAACTTGGATGTTTGTTTTTGTCTTTCTGTTGCTTTTACTTTTGATGTCAATCTTAAGCTTGCAAGTTGGTTTCACTTTTGAGCAGCTTTTAAGCTAGTCCTGAAGGTGTCCAGCTCACGAGGTGTGGCACTTCCATATTTCCAAGAAGGACCAACCTTAGCCGCCAAGAGAATGTTCGAGATAATCGCTGAATTCTGCGCGCGTGCCTTTTTTCCTTCGCAGATCCCGTCGGTCATCTTTGGACATGGATGTGCGGACGATACTATTCCATGAAAAGATGTTCAAGACCCTTGCGTCTTGGACTTAACTACTTAATTAATTGTTTCTTGATGGTTCTTGCTAACGTGGACATTCTTTTTGGACATGGACCTGGAAGTCCTCAAGTCACAGTGACCCCGGAGGCTCCGGAGGCTCCGGTCTTGCCGCGGAGGGGCTCCTGCAGTCCCAGCTCCTGACCGCGCTTCACTCCACGGGTCACCTTCGGACGGGTCGCGTCTGCTCGCGTCCGACGCGGCGCTCGAGTCGATGGGTTTCGCGTCAGCTTCTCCTGTTGTAAACGCTCCAAAGGAATTGGACCATCCTCCTAGACAAAACTCGAAAAGTCAGGGCAAGCTGAAATCAGTATGACTCTTCCAATAATGACAAGAGAGATAAGTGGCATTGATTCCAGTTCTTGCAATCCTGGTGCCAAGAGGGTCGGAGTTCAAGATGAGTTCGAGGATGCCAAATCCGCAGAAAGATCTGACCATCCTGGCAGTTTGATGCAGAAAAAATTCTTCACAAGTTGCTCTTAGAGCAAACAACTTGATCGAAAGTTCTTGTCAGCAACTCAAAGTGCCAAACTCGTGTGCCCTCGCCTGGTCATCCAGAGTCTCGACCTTCGCTCTTCGTCGAGCGCAATAAGTGAAGCTGGACCAACACATGAGCAAGTCTCCAAGCCTGGTGGTGTTGCATGGAAGTTACTAGGAGCAAAGGCATCGCTACTAGTAACAAAGAGCATCGCTACTAGGAGCAAATAGATACTGGTAGCTCCTGGCCTTTCTACTAGGAGCAAAGGCATCGCTGCTAGTGAGGAGCAAATAGGCAAATAGCTACTATATAGTAGCTCCTCGCCGTACTACTAGGAGCAAGCACGCTACTAGTAACAAAGGGCATCGCTACTAGGAGCAAATAGCCTAGTAGCCTACTGAGCTGGTTCGCGAGCGTTGTTTTGCTAAGGGGTATCCTTTCGCGACCCCGCACGAAAAAAGGTTTTAAAAAACATCGATTTTTACCGTTTTTACCCCGGATATGGTAGAAAAAAAAGGAGCGCCCCCCGGTAAAAACGGTAAAAACAAAATTCGACTTTTATCGTTTTTACCGCGGATATGGTAGAAGAAAAAGGGGCGCCCCCCCGGTAAAAACGGAAAAAAGAACACAAAACGATTTTTACCGTTTTTACCGCGGATATTGTGGAGACAAAGGGGCGCCCCCCCGGTAAAAACGGTAAATTTTATTTATTTATTTTTACCGTGTTTACCGCGGATATGAAATTTATACATGGAGCGCCCCCCAGTAACAAAGATTAAAAACAAATATGTTTACCGTTTTTGCCACGGAGATGGTAGAAAAGAAAAGGACAAGTCCGCCTACAAAAGCGGAGAATAACACAACTTTGATTTTTGACGATATGGTAGAAGCAAAAAGAGCAAGCGACTCTTCATAAAAAAAAAGGTAAACAACAAAAGGAGTAATTTTCACTTTGGACCGTTTTTTTATCGCGAGAATGCCTCCGGACCAGGTCGCAAGCTAGAAGGCCTCTGTCAACAAAAAGGTTTAATGTTACAGCCCGGGTATCTTCCTATAACCAGGTGGGGTTCACTCCTCCTATCATATAGGAGCGTGTGCCCTTTTCGACAAGAGGAGTTTGGTGATGGATCAAAATTTCATGACGTTTAACTTTTGCAGGGCAATGAAAGCCTACATCACTTGGATCGAAAACTTTCGATTTTACCTACCGCGGATATGGCAGAAGAAACAGCGGTGACCCTCCGTTAAAAACTGAAAAAAAAAAAAAAACATAGACCCGTTTGCCCCCCTCGATCAAAACGGTGCAAAAAGAACAACAACTAATTTTACCGTTTTGATCGCGGATATGGTATTGAAAAAGGAAGCGCCCGGTAAAAACGGTAAAAAAGAATCGATTTTTGCCGTTTTTACCCTGGATATGGTAGAAGAAAAAGGAGCGCCCCCCGGTAAACACGATAAAACCATAACATGTTTGATGTTTACCGTTTTTACCGCGGATATGCTAGAAAAAAAAGGGGTGCCCCCCCCGGGGGAAACGGTAAAAAAGAAAATGTTCGATTTTTACCGTTTTTACCGCGAATATGGTAGACGAAAAAGGGGTGCCCCCCACGGGGAAACGGTAGAAAAAGAAAATGTTCGATTTTTACCGTTTTTACCGCGGATATGGTAG